GAGAGGAAAGGAGTAGAGTATGACCTGAAACTGTAAGAGAGGAAAGGAGTAGAGTATGAGCTGAAACTGTAAGAGAGGAAAGGAGCAGACTATGAACTGAAACTGAGAGACTACCAGAGCAGTTTCTGTTTGTCTGGCTATCATTCCACTTTCAATGAATTGAAAATATAGCTATGCAAATGTAATTAAAATGAAAATGTAGTTTAAATGTTGAACATGTGTTTTGTTTCAAATCATGACTTGCCTCAGTGTGTCTGGTGTCTGCTTGATCCACCCAGCCACCTATACGTTATTTGTTTTGTCAGTCCCTTGCCTACTAAATGCATGCATTAACCTGGTCAGCATGTCTTTGTACATGGGGAGGAATCCAAGGTGCTGTGAAAAAAACTCAGCAACGCACACTCATGGAATTGAACCCCGGACCTATGAATTATAAGACACCTACCTCTGCTATTAATGCATGATATTTTAAAAAATCAACAACTCAAGAGTTTCAAGGTGTACTAAGTTGTGTGGTTTGAGTTTGACGACAGAAACAAAGTTGAAGGTTGACATTGCATCCCTGGAGAATGATTACCCAACAATTAGTACCCTCTGTACACGCACCGGTTAAGAACTCTGGAAGCACCAATCATATGTATTTTCTGTTAAATAATAGGTTTTTTTATCCTATGTTCACAGGTAATACCAGAAACAAAATACAGGAAAAAAAGAATGAGCAATACAGTATACATTAATTATACAGTATACTGTATTACAATACATTAAATAAATATGTTTGACCTCATAATAAGAATTTCTTTACAAGCCGCCCATGTCAGCTCTTATGAAAACTATAGAAATACAACTAGAATAAGCAGTACCATAAGTACTCATGAGAGAGCGGGCACGGCAAAATGACAAATCTCTTCTGCCAACACACTAAAAGCTGTCTCTGTTAAAAAATGCTGGCTCTATCATAACAAGCCATGCCAAGACCAAAATACACATCTACAATTTTTTTAGCATTTAATGGAAATGCCACTTAAGGATCTGAAGAAAGGATGTGATTGTTCTTAGTGCTGAGATGACAAACAATCTTCGAATATACTTCCTAAGACAATCTGATTATCTGAGTCCTGTTGAAAAGACCGAATGTGAAAGGTGGCCAGAATACAGGAGCCAATCACTTTTGCTGTGAGGAAGTAATTTACCACAAGACCACTCTTACAAAGGTTTACTGTGAAAATCAGGGCAGCAGAATGGGGAGAAAAAAACACAGTGAAAGCACAGTAAAAGCATGGTGAATAATATAGTGTTATGGCAATGCACAATGGAAAATGTGGGAGGCTATGGCAACACAAACTGTATGGTATTAACATGGTACAATTGCAGAAAAACTTGCAATGCAAGGAAAATGCTCATGGTAAACATCAATAAAGATGAGGCCTTTCATGAAGTTGAGCAGCATGTTACGATTTCCATTTCCATTTCAGAAAAGCACATGGCCTAAGATGACACAATTTACTGAGGATAAATCTTAAAATGCTATGAAATTGTTAACACTAAATACATATTAAGAGGTAGTTACTTATATTACAGTTAAAGGAATAACCTAAAATCTGAGAATACAACAGAATTATCTAATGATTCTATCCTGCATTAAGTAGATTTTATTAGTTCTCTGTTTATTGCTTTGGATATTCACCGGCTCTCTGGAGCTCTCCTTGCTGATATGATCAGTAATTATGTACTTGGCTGCTTTCTGAAGCTATTCATGAAATCAAGTAATGGATTTCCTTTTAAAGTTAATTGCAAACTCGATTTCATCTACATGATTGGGATGTTTCAAATCTAAAATTATCACTTTAAACTACGGAATCATTTTTCACTTGATTTTCAAAACCCCACAATGCAATTATTACCATATTGTGTTGAAGGAAAAATATGCAATTACTGACAATACAGTCTGTAGTATGGGTAGGTATGCAACCAGTTTAATAAACTCTTTACTGTCTCTGAGAAAAGGAAGTTTTGAAATGGGGACAGACATTGTTTTGTTCGGTTCGATAGGCTGCACGATAATTAGTATCACTAAGACGTTTAACAACAGCACAAATTTATTTTTATTCTACTGAATGAATTCAAGGCAAGATTGTAACAAATACCGCACGGTTTTCAAAGAGGAAAATGCTGACTTTGTACTACACAAAGTGCAGTTCTTGGCATTCGTGTACATCCCTCTCATTGTTACAAAATGAATACTGGTACTCACTGATCTGACAACGGTCCCCTAGAGCCTGGAACTGGCTGCATTCGCAAAGACCACCACTCATGCACCAGCCTCCATTCAGGCAACTGCAGGATTCTGAAAGGCAGTACAATCAGTAGACTGTCAGACTCCACTTGCTCCCATCAAGAGCCTAGCCTTTACTTTCTCTAGAACAAACCGAATTGTGTCTTTGAACATACCCTTAATTTACTCTCAACATTTTGAATACACATACACCATGTCTCATTTCACACCACGTGGCATTTCATGTTTTCCACATTACAACTGTCTCTTGCCCGAAAACAATTTATCCAAACAGTCAGACTTTTAAGATGACCGAACTGATGCCTTTAGGTATGCTAAAACCCGCAATTAAAATGTCACTGATGACATCAGTTGAGATACACTATCCCACTCAAACCTTTATATCCACCTACGTACAAGTAAATGGTTTAGTCAGTCTTCATTAAATTAATGAAAAGCTCTGTTCATGGCAAAAACAGTTTTTGCTGTTACACAATAAAGTTAAAGCAAATGAGCTTCCAGTGATAACTCCACAGACTAAGCAAATACCTCAGAGCTCAGTGAAACACAAAACCTAGAAAAAAGAGGGTCATTGTTAAAGGTGAGTGCAAGTCAGTGGTAATTAATGCTTTTAACTTTCTAGTCCACAATCTGTCTCCTGATTTTGTGTCACTTGTAAAACAAAAGGAGTCTCTCTTTCTAATGAACAGGTTTTCTCTGGAGGACTGCAAAACATGTTCTCTTGATTAATGTATTTCTGTAAAATGTTTCTGTAATGTTATGAAATAACAACAAAAAGTATGCTATATAGATTCTCACATCTATTGTTTTTTTAAGCAGATTTGTTTTAAACTTTTCCTTGCTAATCCCTGATACATTAGTGATCTCATTGGATGAGGCCTGAGGTCGCTTGGTGTGGAGCTGGATTAATCTTATAAATTGACCACCCACAGCTAACAGACTATTATGAAAAAAATAAAAGCCACAGAGAAATATATTTTACATAACAAAGTTCTTCAGGTTTTACAAATATATGAAATAATTTCTTGATTAGCAGAGAGTGTTGAAAACCACACCTGACGGTGCGTCGCGAGCCAGAGACCGGTTATGAATGATGCTTCTTTGCTGGGCAGGTTCAGACAGCAGTGGCCTTATCGTCTGCAATAATAATATGACAGAAATCGGAAGTGACATTTCACAGGAAAAAAACACTTTACAAAAGATATTACCTGTTATACTGTATTATATTCCAATAATAATAGCAAACAACTATATTCTGTACTAAATAAGATAGAAAACTTTTTTTTTCCACAAGAGAAAAAGGGGATAAATATTCTGCTTTTTGTGATATGTTTTATTTGGAACACTTTGTTTAAAAGGACAGCAAAATAATTTTAGAAATTTCATATATCATGAGATAAAATTAAGATTCAAAAATCTTTAATAAATTGATAAAATATTAGCAAGCCAACGGGAAACAACCCCCAGTAGCGGTTATTTGCATTGTTATAAAGACATATCAGATTGGTCTCATGTGTAATTGGCTTATTACTATAAATGGAATGCTAATAACTTTGTTATGAGTTTAAGTGAGAGTTGCAGTTATTTAGTACAGTTATTGTTATTTTCTCCTTTAAAACAATTGAAGAGAAAGTTTTTTTTTCATTTAATCATGTGCTATGGACTACCAGCCAGTGACATATCTTATAATGAAATCTGTCTACAAAACAGGAAAAAAACACTTTGTGAACACCCAACATTGAGGCACGTAGCAGTCAATGTAAAATGGAAATAAAAAAACGCCACTCCTTTGAAACAGCACGGAGGTCGTTTTTTGCACTGAAGGGAGGAATGACTAGGAGACAACACTGTAGTACCACAGACGTTTCTCATGGATTCCATTCAGGAAAGGCTTCATCTTAAGCTTTCAAGAGTGAAGACTATAACTGTCATCTGAGAGTTGATCAACATGACTGTAGGCACCTGTTGACCAGGAACCAGTGGCAATGAGGCAGCTGGCTGCAAGAACCATCCTTTGAGCAGCTCGGCCATTTGTATGCTGCACACAAAGAACTCTTTGTAAAATCAGGTGTGCTTCAATATTTTGGTGCCCTTTTTTCTCCTTTCTCTTAGGTATACCTACCCCTTCTCCGAAGAGATCTCGTTTCTGCCGAAGTGCATTAAACCTTTTCCTGGAAGGAACAAAAAGCAACTTGTATTATCAGAGGGCAAGGTGGCTTTTTAAGAAACCTAAGGCACCTACCATGCAATATGAATCATACACATACTACATGCCCACCTCTTCTCTAAGAAGATCTTTGATTTCAAAAGATACTGAAAAAATTTAAAAATAATTTTCCAGCTGAACCAGAGATCACACAATGAACTCAAAATGTCGTTCCACAGCAAATCAGTGAACTAGATGTTACGATCAACAGGGTCTGGACAGTTACATTTGTTTATAAAATAAGTCACAGATGAGGCTAAAATGGGACTACTGTATAGCTGATTTAAAAAACACTCCCTACCCCTGGAAGGATACACAACTTTTATCAGTCATATTCTAATTAAAAAGCTCTTGAACTGCAAATTAGTTCCCACTCCCACTTTCCATAATATTCATTTTTTCTGAATTGTGTCTTCTACAGAGTTGTTTAAATAACATACTATCTTTCAAATAATTTGCCAATACAACAAGTGGTACCACAACTTGATAAACAGTTTTACAGTAAAACACAAGTGACAAACTTTAAACTTTGTAAAATTGATGCTTTATCAGTTTTTCCCACATTCTACAAATTTACGGATGAACACATTCCTGTAGTAAAGAAAACTATGTTTATAAAACAACTCATTTATGTTTTTGATAGTACATGGGGTTCTTTAAATAGTGCTATAAACTTACATTTTTGTAAGTGCACATATTTTATAATACTTGCAATTTATACAATAGTAATTATTTATTAACATATGTAGGATTAAGAATTATTGTATGTGATACAAGAAATATGCAGTAAAGTTGCACAAATATGGTAATCTATTAAGAGTACAAAATGATGGATATATGTTCAATTCAAATAAACTTACCTTTGTGTTCTACTTTGTGGATCTGTAGACTGGCAGTTAAATCCTGATTAACATAGAGACAGCCTAAATTAATAGCCATGGCACAAGAAGCAGTGCTTTACTTCTTAAAACACAGGAATGGTTTTCAATAAATAAATGAAGAAAAAAAAATCCTGCCGTTACTAAAATGTAGTCTCTTGAGAGCTTAACACGCACTTATTTTAAAACACTGTTTGCAATTTCTTTGACAATTCAAGGTTCTAACAATAAATCATGTCATTCAGTGTCTACAAACAAATACAAGTGTATTAAATCTGCCTTGTTTCGGCCAAGGGGGGTCAGAAAGGAATACAGAACGCAATGCCAAATGCATGGTAAGTATTTTAATATTATACATATATTTTTCTTTTTTTGCTTTATGTAAAATGTTTTATACTGAACACATAAGAATACGGAGGCATAACATTTGTTTTATAATAAAGTTGTTTTAATTTTATTTCATTATTCAATTTGAATCGGCAGACGGCTTTGTTCCATGGTATTGAATATGAATACTTTTTGGCGTTAGTTTCATCTTATAACTCATTGCCACTTAATTACAGCCATATTTTATTTATGTGAAATAATGCTTAAATACTGATATCAAAGATATTGATATAAAATCAAAGATCAGGCATCAACTTAATAATAATCAAGAATTATTATACTGAATTATTGAAACTGAGTTTCAATTCTACAACACATTGCGTAGTTTTGTTCTTACAAATCTTAGTTTTCTAAAGAAAATAAATTGTATTTGAGTATAATGAGAGGCAAAAAAACTTTACAATTAAATATTAAAAATGAAACTCGTCTGTTCTTGTAATGGATTTTTCACATCTTATTAGTTAAAGATCAAATGTATATGCGGTCAAGCAACAATTAGGCGAAGACGTTTAGAAAACGAACAATAATTTTAGAAAAATAAACCTTACCTTGAAAAAGAAGCAGTTGGCAGAATAATACTACGATCCAAGGAATCATTAATTTTAAGCTCCTCTTTATGTTCATTTCAGGGCTGCGTCCTATTGAAACCAGCAATCAAAATTATGAGGGCATTTTAGTACATTCGTTTGTCAGAATATTTTGTTGTGCAGTTCCAGGTTTAGCTGTTCTGCAGCAGCAGAGACTCTTTCGCCGACAGTCTTCAGAGGACTTGACAAATCTTCCATGAAAATCTTTTTCTCCCTCTCATTAGCAATGCATAGTGACTCGTTTACCTGTGGGTGGATTAGTTACACTGCCTCACATAACACATGTAAAGTCTATCTGTTCTTATTTGCAGGCTGCATTCGTGGTTAAATAACGTGTTGTTGAACTGAAAAATTGTGCTGCGTCATACTAAATGAAAACGCAATCTTTTTTTCACAATGAAACTATGAATGAGACGACCAATCCTGGTCTTAAAGGTAAAATATCTGAATATATAAGTGCATTTTAAGTGACAGAGGACAAAAGAACTAATTCCAATACATATAGGCCTAATAATGTGTGAAAAGTCACACCCCAGCAAAAGAAAGTCAAAGTCTTTTCCACTTTTGTTCTTGTCGTTTTATACATGACACAAGGTCGTATGCAAAGACAACGTGAGAGAGCTATATAGTATACAACAGTACACAAAATATGGAGACTTTTACATTGCAATACAAAATTTAGTTTTTAATATAATTGGGACTTATCACATTATATATTTCCGTACATTTATTTAAAATTTCAACAAAGCACCGCAACCACTGTCTCGAAGGTGAAGTTTTTTTTTTAATGAGTTACGATCTACTGTCTTTGCAACTGAACACGGCAAACCAATTACTGTCTAATGTAAGTAGTGAGTTACGGGCTTGAATTATATATTATTGTTCAAAATATCAAAATGTCATGTTGTTATTGTTAAAATCACCTTAAATCTTTAACTTCTCATAAAAACGAGAAAGCATAACAGTGGTGATAAATTTAACAGCCAGAGATCAATCTCATTAAGTAGAAAACGTCACACGAGATGCATGAATAAAAGCACAGAAGAGTGGATACAAATAATTAATCAATACATTTTGAATAATTGCTAAATTCACATTTCAATACAGTATCGATACAATATTTTAATTGTTTTCAATAATTAAGATAAATCTTCGATATCAATAGAAATAAAAAGTATTGTCAGTACGGCTTAAGGGGCTCATTTTATGCTTTGCAATCGACCTTTTCACAATAAATCACGGACATCACAAGGACACATTTTAGAACATGAACTTACGGAGACACCCACGACCTTTTAAAAATATTTT